TCGGGGGGGACTATATGGGATGCTGGGGATCGAACCCTGGTCAGCCACGTGCAAGGCAAATGCCCTACCTGCTGTGCTAACACTCCAGCCCTGATTTCTTTATTATTTTGAGTATTTCTGAATGGCATGTTTTTTTAGGAGGATCTTCATATAAAAGTGCTATACAAATAAATGTTAAGTATTCACCATGAGTAATTGAGAGTTGCTGGAAGAGTAAAACACTGTTTTGCCTCATTTCTTCAACTTTAATTTCCTTACTGCTCTAGGCTTGGTGGATTTGTGAAGCTTTTGGTTTGGTTCAGCTTTGCTTCTTTATGAATACCCTAAGTCTTAATATATCTCTTTTTTTACTTTTTTAAAAAATCGAATCACTGTGAGATAGACCCTTACAAAGCTGGTCATGATTAGATTTCAGTCATACAGTGTTCCATCACCCATCCCTCCAGCAATGTACATTTCCCAGCACCAGTGTCCCCAAGTTCCCTCTCCTCACCCCACCCCCAACCCCTTGCCTGCCTCTATGGCAGGTGCTTTTCTTCTCTCTAAATCTTAATATATCTTATTTTTAGGACCCCACAATTACTTTTTAAGGATATTTCTAGCTATTTGGATAATCTTAATTTCAAACTTTTCCTAATTGCAGTGTTTCCAAAACCCTACTGGGAATAATGCACATACTCTGTCCCTTTGGGAAAGTCATATTACAGAGGGGCATGTTCAAGGCTCTGATTTAAAGGATCTTATTAAGTCTGCAATCAAGAAAACTTCATATTTGCTAGAAGAGTTCCTAAAATTTGAAAGCCTCCACTCACCAAATTATCATTTAACGTTCGACAGCAATATTGTGTTGCCAAATAACTTTGGTGAGAGACACTGTGATTTTTTTCCAGTAAATCATTTCCTCTGTATTTTTTACGTTTCCCCCATTTTTTTTTTCTTTAAAGGATGGTGTTACTGGCAGCTAGTCTTTTGGAGAACTCTGATGAGAGTCTGGGCCTGCTCATAACTGTTCACCTTCTCCTTTCCCTCCTGGAAGTACATCTCAGCCCGTGCCCACTTCCTGCTGCTCTGGCTCTCTCTCGAAGCAGGTTACCTGCATTCTTTTTACTCCTCTTTTGACCATCTCACTTTTTTTTTTAAGTTACAAACTCATGTTTGAGCTTCAGTCATACAATGATCAAACACTCGTCCCTCCACCAATGTATATTTTCCACCACCAATGTTCCTGGCATCCCTCAACATTCCCCCTCGCCCCACCCCGCCTACCCCACCCCCTGCCTCCATGGCAGACACTTTCCTTCGTACTCTCTCTCTCTGCTTATGGATATTATGGTTTGCAATACAGATAGTGAGAGGCCATCACGTTTGGTCCTTTATTTACCTTCAGCACACATCTCCCATCCCGAGCGATCCCCCCCAACCATCATTCACTTAGTGATCCCTTCTCTATCCCAGTCTCCTTCTCTCCCAGCTCATATGGCAGGCTTCCAGCCATGGAGCAATCTTCCTGGCCCTTGACCACTCACTTTTGTTGTTGTTAAAATTTGCCTGTTTTATCTCTTTTGCATAGGCAGTAAAGGGCAGACACAGATCATTGAATTCATGTCAGTAGTTGGAGGGCTCACTCGGAATGGTAGATACGTACTGCAAGTAGGCTGTAGACCAAGCATGATGATTGTTTAGTGCCTATATTGCAAACTCTAACACCCAAAAGGAGAGAGAGAGTGAGGGAATGCGTCTGCCACAGAGGCAGAGGGTGGGAAGGGTGGGGGTGGCAGGAGGGACACTGGGAACATTGGTGGCGGAGAATGGGCACTGGTAGAGGGATAGGTACTTGAACATTGTTTGATTGAAATGTAATCATGAAAATTTGTAAGTCTAACTATCTCATGACGATTCACTAAAATAAAAAAAGATGTTAATAAGCGTTGTAAATTTAATAATTTGCTTTGCCATCGGGATTGTTTGCAGTTTTATAAGGGGTGCTCCCCTAAGCAGTAGAGCAAAGTGGACAGTAGGTATAGTCTGTAACCAGAGTCAAGGTTCTGAGTTTCTAGCTGGCTGACCTTGAATAGAATGATCTGACCAACAAAATAACTTTCCTCCCCTCCCCTTACTTCCCCTCTTCTCCCTTCCCTTTTCTCTTCCTCTCCTCCTCTTCCCCTCTTCTCCCCTCCCATTTCCTCCCTCCTTTGGAGGTTGTACGTTTGCTTGTGATGCAGTGAACATTATAAACCCATGAGGCTTGCGCTTTCAGTGGCAATACCCCTGGGATTACACTCAGTGATATAGGGCAGTGCTGGGGTTAAACTAGCAGCCTCACACCTGGAAGGCAGGCACTCTGTCACTGAGCCAAATCCCTGCACTCCCTGGTGTATTTATTTATTTATTTTTTAAATTTTTAAAAAATAAAAGAGACACCATGAGGTACAGTTGTAGACTTACAAATTTTTGTGCTTGGGTTTCAATTACACAATGATCAAATGTCCATCCCTCCACCAGTGCCCATTTCCCACCACCACCACGGATCCCAGTATCCCTCCCACCCCCCACCCCCACCATCCCACCATTCCACCTCTGGCAGGGCATTCCCTTTTGTTCTCTCTCTCTCTCTCTCTCTCTCCTATTGGGTGTTGTGGTTTGCAAAAGAGGCAATGAGTGGCAATCATGTTTGGTCTATAGTCTACTTTCAGCATGCTTCTCCCATCCTGGGAGGATCCTCCCAACACCCTTTATTTGGTGCTCCCTTCTCTATCTGAGCTCCCTTTTCCCCTAGCACGTGTGACTGGCCTCCAAGCCATGGAGCAGAATTCCTGGTACTAATCTTGGCCGTTCTTGGGTGTTAGTCTTCTATTTCGTTACTTTATGTTCCCCAGATGAATGCAATCTTTCTGTGTCTATCCCGCTCTTTCTGAGTCATTTTGCTTAACATGAAACTTTCCATGTGGTACCACTTGTATGTAAATTTCATGATTTCATCTTTTCTAACAGCTACATAGTACTCCATTGTGTAAATGTACCAAAGTTTCTTTAACCAGTCATCTGTTCTCGGGCACTCAGGTTTTTTCCAGATTCTGGCTATTGTAAAGAGTGATGTATTTATTTTTTGGTTTTGGGGCCAAAGCCAGTTGTGCTCAATGCTTACTCCTTGTTCTGTGCTCAGGGATTTCTCCTGGCAGGACTTGAGAGACCAGATGCAGTCCCTTGACCAAATCTGGGTTAGTTACATGCAAGGCAAACATCTTGCCTGCTAAATGATCTCTCCAGTTCCACCATGTTATTTAACAAATTTATTTCAAAAGAAGTTATTTGTATACTCTTAAATATTTAAACTTAAACACTTTAATTGGAGTTTAATAGTTATTTATAGTTTTGTTTTATTTATTTTGGATTTGGGAGACATACCTGGCAGTACTCAGGGCTTAGTCCTGGCTCTGTACTCAAGGATCGCTCCTGACAGTGCTTGTAGGACCATATATGGTGCTGAGAATTGAACCAGGGTTGGAGGCATGCAAGGCAAATGCCTTACCTGCTGTACTATGCCTCTGGCCCTATTTTTTTAAAAAATTTTTTATTAGTGAATCACCGTGAGGCACAGCTACAAACTTACGAACTTTTGTATTTCAGTCATCCAATAAGCATTTACCCATCCCTCCTCCAGTGCATAGACTCCTCCACCAATGTTCTCAATATCTTTCCCACCCCCCCACCCCATCCCCCCAACTCCACCCCTCCTCTGTGGCAGGGCATTTCCTTTTGTTCTCTCTCCTTTTGGGTGTTGCAGTTTGCAATAGAGGTATTGAGTGGCCATTGTGTTCTGTCTATAGTCTGCTTTCCACACGCATCTTTCAACCTGAATGGGTCCTCCCAACATCCTTTGGTCTTCCCTTTTTTTATCTGAACTGCCTTTTCCCCCAGCATTTGAGGCCAGTTGGTTTCCAAGCCCTGGAGCAGACCTCCGGGTCCTTATCTCTACTAACCCTGGGAGTTAATCTCCCATTCTGTTACTTTATATTCCACAGATGAGTGTAATCTTTCTATGCCTGTCCCTCTCTGACTCATTTCACTTAACATGATACTTTCCATGTTAATCCACTTATATGGAAATTTCATGACTTCATCTTTCCTAACAGCTGCATAGTATTCCCTATATTTGTTTTTTGAAGTAAAATTTTCACATACTAAAATGCAGAAATTGTATTCTCTATTATGTCATCCTCTGAAGATCAGAACTATTTCCTACCCCACTTCCCCTTTCTGGTGAGTCCCTGCCTTTACTCCCAATCCTGGACCCCTCAAGTATTGTTTGTGATTTTAGTATTCGAAATGCAGATACCGATTACATAGTCTAGTGATAGGAATATTTGGAAACTGTAGAATTGCTTGGTAATGCTTCTTATATCAGAGACATTAGAGTTTGATGCAGTTTTAGATAAATTTTACAATTTTTTTTATTTTTATAAATATGTAAAATGTTTCTGTAAGCAAATGTTTAATTACCAGATGCCATGCTAAGATCTTGGATCAAATGAGTGCAATACTATTGGACCTCTGCTAGAATTAGGCACAGGGATATAGAGGAGACACAAAAAAGCAATGTTCTGTTTCTCCTCAGTTAAGGACCAAGGCCAGGCTGATCTCAGAGAGGAAGTGATACTTAAGCCCAGCATTGTATGGATCGCTGTTTGCCGCTAATTGGTATCGTGGGAGAGGGGGAAGGAGCATTTCAGGGTGAGCAAAGGCAAAAGAGAGGGAATGAGTTTGGGATAGTGGGAATGTTTAGCAAGATTGAAGGAAAAGCCGTCGGAGATGAATGAGTGGTAAGCAGGGGGTTGCATATCATTTTTAAAGGACATTATAGTCATGTTTCAGAAGTTTTCAGATGATGCAGTTAGATATGTATGATTTTTATAATGAACAAGTGAAAATCATACTTGCTATTTAATCAACTGTAGTTTTTTTCTTTTTAACTTTTGCCATTTATCTCTCCAAAATGACAGGTGGTATGCCAGTATTTGGAAAATTCCAATGTGAATGATACGCAGCTGCTGAAGAATATTTATAAAGCTCTGAATGTGTATTATAATTACTCTGACCAGGCAAGCTGTATGAATCTATCAGCGACAGCAACTAGCAGTCTTGGAACGCAGGGCTGGAGCTATCAAGTGAGTGTGTATGATTTTCCCCAGTGGGTCTTACTTTCACTTCTGTGATTGTGCTTAACAGAGTTTACGAGATTTTGTCATCGGATTTGATCCAGGCTCTTGACTGAACATTGTGAGACAGGGCAACCTTTCTCTTGCATTAAGTTTGATCATGTTTAATCGTCATCACATATATTTCCAATACCTGTGTCAGGCACCCTCTAGATTCCAAAGATAAAAAGATGAACGAGACATAGCGCCGTCAGCTGTAGCTTGGTGAAAAAGAGAGGCAACTCGGTTGTTAAAATAGAACTTGATAAATCATATAAAGGGAGCGTTTTATGAGCACAGAAAATGGATGCGTAACCTGAGTCAGAGTCTCTCTTTCTTTATGTAACGAGAATAGTACTTCCTCTGAAGAACTGTTTTGGGGGTTAAATATAACAAATGTGAAAGAGAGCAGTTCCTAATTTCCGTGATTTCTCAGTCAGACCTTTTCAGGAACAATGAGAGGCAGGAGGCACAACGATGGGGAAGGGGCTCTGCAGCCAAACGGCCTGTGTAACAGCCTCGCTTTGCACACTGCACGCAATTTAACTTCCTTGTGCCCCATTTCTTCAATGGTTTCTTTTCTGGTTGCTTTTTCAGGCTTGCACAGAAATGGTCATGCCTTTTTGTTCTAATGGCATCAATGATATGTTTGAGCCTCACCCATGGAGCCTGAAGGAGTTTTCCGATGACTGTTATAAACAGTGGCACGTAAGACCAAGGCCCTCTTGGATCCCTACTTTGTATGGAGGCAAAAATATCAGTTCCCACACAAACATTATTTTCAGGTGAGTTTTACTGGCCCAAGGAAAAACTTTGGTTAGTGAAAACATTTGTTGACTGCTTAGAAAATAGTATAGCATCCGGCAGTGGCATTCGTTCTGTTTTTTTTATTCCTTGAATGACAGAGGATGCTGAGAGGAGACTTGATCTAACATACTGTTACAAATGTGCCTGAAGACTCAGAATACAGTAGTAGCAAAATTAAAATGTTAAAAAAAACCTCCAAAAAATAAAGCAGCAGTTTTGTTCCCTCTATGCTTTATTACTGTTAATATTAGTCACAAAATCACAAATCACAAATCATCCTGTTAATCGTCGATTGCCTCGAGCAGGCCCCAGTAACGTCTCTTTCATCCTAGCCCTGAGATTATATTCAAGGCTCTTTAGGAGAATGAGACCCATCATTGTTACTGGTGTTTGGCACATTGGGTACGCCACGGGGAGTTAATATTAGTAGTAATGTAAAATTTTTTCATTGTTCAACATTAATTAAAAAATTGAAGTAACTATGGTGTATAAGAATGTAAATATTTTTAATTTAAGGGGAACCATGTTGCCATTCTTCATCTGCCTCCAATCTCTTTCTGTATCACTGTCTACTGGAACCTTCCCATCTTCTTCGTCACCCGCTAAAAGTTTGTGAGTGTCATGTGTGGTGCTCGAGATCAAACCTAGAACTACACACATGCAAGGCAAATGCTCTAATCCGGAACTCTATCTCCAGTCCCTTGCTAAAAGTTTGCAGTTATTTTTCTACTATGTTCAGTTTTTAAAGTAAGGGGCCTAACGTAGCAATGCTTGGAGGTTCTTTTGGTGACAGAGATGGAACTCAGATTCTCAACATACATACTTAGTGTGAAGAGCATACTTAGCATATGTTCTACACTTGAGCTAGCTCTCTAGCCAATAAATGCTTTTAAAGTCCCTGCTCTCATCAGTACTATGTAAGGTGGCACTGTAGCACTGTCCTCCCATTGTTCATCGATTTGCTCGAGCGGGCCCAGTAACGTCTCCATTGTGAGACTTGTTGTTACTGTGTTTGGCATATCGAATACGTCACGGGGAGCTCGCCAGGCTCTGCCATGCGGGCAGGATACTCTCGGTAGCTTGCCGGGCTCTTCGAGAGGGGCAGAGGAATCAAACCTGGGTTAGCTACCTGCAAGGCAAACACCCTACCCACTGTGCCATCGCTCCAGCCCACTATGGAAGGTATTCAAAATAAATTATTTAATTAAATCCTCACAACAGTCCTGTGAAGCAATACTTATTTTTTCACTGAGGAGAAAAAGCGAGGCCACTGCAGTCAGTTTCTTGACAAAGATTACCCAATTTTATTTTAGTTACTGGGTGATGAAGCCAGATCTCAACATTGGCTTGACTGCAAAACCTTATACTTCTGGTTTGCTTCTAATTGGACTTATTTGTCACATGATTATAATATATATTATCTTATTTCAGAGTGAATTGAAACTCTACGTATATCTTTGTTACCACTTCAAATTTTTCAAATTTTGGCTAGAACATTATGTTGTCAGTATATAGAGAGCAACCAGCTAAAATATATATGGAAGCATCAGAGAAATATCATAATCATTTCCCATTATGTCATTCTGAGTGTGTACTTGGAGGAATTCAGTTGTGTTTCCAAAAGTATGATTGGATTTTTGTTTCCTGTTGCATCAGACATTGTATGCTTCATTAATACGAGAATTCAGTCCATTAATCTTTAGAAACATTATTATCGCTATGAAAGAGTTTGTGGCTATTTTTCTGTGAGGGTCTAGGTGGTTTTTGCTATTCAGCGTTTTTATAGACCACTCAGTATTCCTGGCAGTGCTGGTTTGGATGCAGCATCTTCGTCTGTTTGTCCAAGAATGCTTTTATCTCTCCCTGAAATTTGAGAGTAGCCCTGTAGAGTAGAGGACTCTTGAATAAAGATTCTTTTCATCCAGTAGTTTGAATATATCATTCCATTCCCTTCTTGCTTTGTAGAGTTTCGTTTGAGGAATTTGATGTAATTTTTTTGTTACTTCTTTTTTGTTTAAGACATTGCTTTTTTGCCACATCGAAGTATCTTTCTCTGTTTGGTTCTAACTCTTTTGATTAGTTTGTCCTCCTGTTTGAAGGTTTTTTTTGTTGTGGTTGTTTTTTGTCACTCTTGGGGCCTTTTGGATTGGTGTATAATTCTCCCTCCTCAGACTAAGGAAGTTCTCGGTTACCTCTTCCACCAGCTGGTTTCTGCTTTCTGTTTAGTGTGAGGCAAGAGGAAGCTTGGACTAGGACATGGGGGTCTGGTTCACAGGTGGCAGGAGTGAACAGAAGTCAGGAGATAGAGTTACCTGTGGCCTGCTGGGGCAGAAAATAAGTGTGGGCTGGGAGTTAGGGGTCCTCATTAAAGTCTGTGGGGGCCAGAATGGGAAAGAATATTTACCCAATACACATCTGATAAGGGAATAATATCCAGGATATACAAGACACTAGTAGAATTGTACAAGAAAAAAAACCTCCAACCCCATCAAAAAATGGGGAGAAGAAATAAACAGAATTTTCCTCAAAAAAGAAATACAAATGACCAAAAGGCACATGAAAAAATGCTCCACATCACTAGCCATCAGGGAGATGCAAATCAAAACAACAATGAGGTATCATCTCATACCACAGAGACTGGCACACATTCAAAAGAACAAAAGCAACCAGTGTGGAGTGGATGTGGGGGAAAAGGAATGCTCTTTCCCTGTTGGTGGGAATGCCCAATAGTCAGCCTTTCTGGAAAACAATATGAACAGTCCTTAAAAAACTAGAAATTGAGCTTCCATATGACCCTGCAACACCACTTCTGGGAATATATCCTGAGGATGCAAAAAAGCACAGTAGAAATGACATCTGTACCTATATGTTCATTGCAGCACTGTTCACAATAGCCAAAATCTGGAAACAACCCAAGTGTCCTAGAACAGATGACTGGTTAAACTTTGGCCCATCTACACAATGGAATACTATGCAGCTCTTAGGAGAGATGAAGTCATGAAATTTGCTTATGGATAGACATGGAGAGTATTATTGTAGGTGAAATGAGTCAGAAAGAGAGGGACAGACATAGAAGGACTGCACTCATTTGTGGAGTATAGAATAACATAACATGATGCCGACACCCAAGGATAGTAGATACAAGGGCCAGGAGGATTGCCTAGCTGGAAGCCTGCCTCATGTGTGGAGGGGAGAAGGCCGATGGAATAGAGAAGGGATCACTAAGAAAATGATGGCTGGAGGAATCAGTCGGGATGGGAGATCTGTACCAAAAGTAGATAATGGACCAAACATGATGACCTTCCAGTGTCTGTATTGCAAACCATAATGCCCAAAAGTAGAGAGAGAGTATGGGGAATATTGTCTGCCATGGAGGCGGGGTGAAGATGGGAGGTGGGGTATACTGGGGAGATTGGTAGTGGGGAATGTGACTGGTGGAAGGATGGGTGTTTGATCATTGTGTGATTGTAACTCAAACATGAAAGCTTGTAACTTTCTCATGGTGATTCAATAAAATTAAAAAAAAATAGTCTATGGGGGCAAGTAGGAGCCAGGAGTTGTGTTTACAAGCATCTGGGCAGGGGAATGAGCTAATTTTTAAAGAAAGAAATGAGATAGGTAAGGGTTTTTTTTTCCAACCCTTTTCTTATTTTTATAATCTTTTTAATTTTTATAATCAGTTTATTTTATTTTAGTCTAGTTTATTTTTGGCCACCCCTGGAAGTGCTGAGAAAAGGAAGCCAGAAAGCTAGGCACTCCCAGCTTTGTGCTCAGGGATCATTTCTGGTGGGCTCAAGGTTACATGGGGTGCTTGGGATTGACCCTAGGTTGGCCATGTGCAAAGCAAGTGTCCTACCTGCTATACTATCTCTCTGGCTTCTCTGTGTTTTATAGATACAGTTTTGATATGAAGGCCTTTAATTCACTTTTGATGAACATTTGTTTATGGCGTGAGATCTAGTTCTAGTTTTTAGTTTTATCTCATACATACAAATACTCCTCTATGTGAAGGTCTTGTTACTCTTAAATAAATCCTGCACCAGAAGTCATATCGTAATCTACAGGGGAGAATGTAATCAGGTCTAAATAGCATATATTAAAAAAAGATGACACAGAATGGGGAATGAAATTCTTTAAGTGAAAGCCCTTAAGAAGCAGTGTAGATGATAACCCCTTCTTTAGAAAGGTATCTTTTCTGTCACTGATACCAAAGGCTAAACTGTCCATGGGTATTCGTCTCATATATATACATATATATGTAAATATATATATATATCATGCCATCAAGTAATGCCTGAGGCAATAGAATAAAGCAGAGATTTCACAAGAAATCTTACTTAACACAAGTAACTATACAGACTAACACTTCTCTACAAATTAAGTTCTTTGCCAGTTAAAAACAGAGTTGTAAGTTTCATAGCTTAAACAAATAAGGGCATAAACTGAACCAGTACTATATCCAGCTTTCCAATCTAGGTTATTCCATATATATATATATAATATATATATATATAGCTAAAATCAATTACAAGTTATGGCTGAACAAATGCTAAGGACAATTTTTCATATAAGTCATTTTTTATAGACACTAAACTTCATCTTGCACACTGAAGTTATCAGACATACAGGACAAAGTCAGAACTTTGGTATTTGAGTTCATTCTTCATTTAACTATTAAAAACTACTATAATAGACTATGAAAACAATTGTAAGTAGTGAGTATGTTAGTTCTTCACTCATTTACCATTGCACATAAAATGCCAGCTCTATGTGTAACTCATTGGCCCAATTCAAAGGTCTAGCACTGAACAACACTGTTAGAATGATACTCACCATTCTCCTAAGCTTCTCCATTGTAATGGTGCCATGATTCTTGATTTGGGGCAAAATCTACCAGTTCTTCCTTGTCCGTTGTTTCAGCACTTTCTGTTTACTCTCGAAGATGTTATGTGTGAGCCTAAGCATTTTTCCCAGAACCAGTTATTGAATGGGCTTTCCTTGTTGCACTTTACGGTACATTGTGATAACTTAACTATTTTTCCATCAGAGGGCTTGTTTGCTTTTGTGCTTTCATTTTGGTTCCATTAACCTGAAAAATCAGTCTTTTTTTCCCAATAGCAGGCAGTTTAAATTATTATAGATTTGATATATAGTTTAAATCAGGGAATGCAATGCCTCTCATTATCTTCTTTTCCACAGAATTTCTTTGGCTTTTCTTGGAGTCTATACAAATTTTAGAAGTGTTTGTCCTAAGTCATTGAACAATGACAAGGGAATTTTGGTGGAGATCACATAAAAGGTGTAAATTACTTTGGGTTGGATGATCATTTTAATGATTCTAAAACTTCCAATACTTGAATAAGGAATATGTTCCCTGTGAAGAAATCGAAACTTTTTTTTTTTGCACTATTTGGCCAGGAAACTTTCTGTTGTGGTGCTTCTCATTTGTTTTTTGCTTTTTGTGTTTTAATTTTTGTTTGTTTCAATTGAATTACAGTAATTACAGTTACAAAGTTGTTGATGATTGAATTTCAGTCATATAACATTCCAAGACCCATTCCTTCACCAGTGTAATCTCTTTACCTACTTTCAATACTCAGATTTTGTCCAATTATCATTGACATAGTGGACCCTTCTCTGTCCTAACTGTACTTCCCCCAGACCCCCACCCCTGCCCACACACCCCACCATACATACTTATGGCAAGCTTCCAATCATGGACCAGTCCTCCTGGCCCTCGTTTCTGCTGTCCTTGGGTATTAATCTCATACTATGTTTTTCTTTTTTTTATCACACAAAAGAGTACAGTCATTCTCTTTTCCTCTGACTCACTTCACTCAGTATGATATTCTCATGTCCATCCATTTATAAGCAAATTTCATGACTTTATTTTATCTCCTTGCTGCATAGTATTCCATTTTGTAGACTTACCATAATTTCTTCATCCAGTCATATATTCTCAGGCACTTGGGTGGTTTCCAGATTCTGGCTATTGTGAATAGTGATAGATAGAAATAGTGAAGATAGAAATAGCGAACATAGAAATAGTGAACATAGAAATGAAGAGGGCACTTCTGCAGTGTTTTTGGGCCCTGAGGGTGTATTCCCAGGAGTGGTATTGTGGGGTCATATGGAATCTCAATTTCTAGTTTTCTGAGGAATGCCCATATTGTTTTCCAAAAAAAATTGGAAAACAGTTGGCATTCCCACCACCAACAAAGAATTCCGTTCTCCCTGCATCTGCTCCAGCATTGGTTCTTGCTTCTCTCTCTCTCTCTCTCTTTCTTCTTTCTTTCTTTCTTTCTTTCTTTCTTTCTTTCTTTCTTTCTTTCTTCCTTCCTTCCTTCCTTCCTTCTCTCTCTTTCCTTCTTTCTTTCTTTCTTTCTTTCTTTCTTTCTTTCTTTCTTTCTTTCTTTCTCTCTCTCTTTCTTTCTTTCTTTTCTTTTCTTTTTTGATATGTGCCAGTTGCTTTGGTGTGAGATGGTATGTCATTGTTGTTTTGATTTGCATCTTCTTGATTATTGATGTAAAGTGTTTTTTTTTTTATGTGTCTTTTGGCCATTTGTATTTCTTCTTTGAAGAAGTTTCTATTTATTTCTTCACCCCATACTTTGATTGTGTTGGATTTATTTTTCCTGTGAAGTTATATATGCAGTGCCTTGTATATCTTGGATATTATCCCTTATCATATGAGTGTTGGGTAAATAAATAATTTTTCCCATTCCACGGGCTTTCTTTGTATATTGCTCACCATTTCCTTTGAGGCACAGAAGCTTCCTAGTTTAATGTAGTCCTAATTGTTTATCTTTGCTTTCATTTGCTTAGTCAGTGGCATTTCATCTTTGAAGAGGTCTTTTGCATTACTGTTATGGAGGCTACTGCCTACATTTTCCTCTGTGTACCTTATGGATTCAGGTCTGATATTGAGGTCTTGTATACATTTTTATTTGACTTTTGTGTTTTGCCAGGCATTAGAAAGAGATCAGAGTTTATATTTTTGCATGCAGCTGTTCAGCTTTCCCAGCACCACTTATAAAGAGGCTTTCCTTGCTCCACTTCATGTTTCTTACTCCTTTATGAAAGATCAAATGATCATATGTTTGAAGGTTTGGATATTTAACTAATATTCCACTGATCTGAGTGTCTATATTTATTCCAATACCATGCTATTTTAATTACTATTGCATTGTAGTAAAGTTTGATGTTGGAGAAGGTGATAACTCCCATCTTGTTTCCCAAGGAATCCTTTATCTATTAGTGGGGGGTTATTATTCCATATGAATTTCAGGAATGTTTGATGTATTTCTTTGAAAAATGTCAAGGACACCCTTATAGGGACTGCGTTGAATCTGTAGAGAATGCTTTGGGGAGTATTGGCATTTTGACAATGTTTGACCTCCAGATCCATGAGCAGGAGATGTCTCCATTTCCACATTTCCTTTTTCATTTCTTGAAGTAGCATTTTGTAGTTTTGTTTGTATGGTCCTCACCTTTCTAGTTAAGCTGATTTTGAGGTACTTGATTTTCTGAGGCACAATTGTGAATGGGATTGTTTTTTAAATATCTTTCTTCCCTTTAATTATTTGTATATAGGAAAGGAAGAAGCCAAGATTTCACTATTTGCAGATGAAATAATACCAAGAAAATCCTAAAAGCTCTACAAAATATCTCCTAGAAACTATAGATTTGTACAGTAGAGTGGCAGGTTACAAAATCAATATCCAAAAGCCCATGGTTTTACCATATGCTAGTAATGAAAGAGAAGCCATGGACTTTTGTGTATTGATTTGTACAGCTGTTTATACCAAAGGGTTACTGATAGTACCTTGTTGTTCTGATGAGTTTCTTTGCCATGCAATGCTATTAGACCTTAACAAAGGACTTCTGAACTAGCCACTCTGTTTAGTTGACCGAGATACAAAGTCGGTGAAATATGGTTGTTCATCCACTAGCTTCAATATGAAAAGTGTGTTCAGTAATAATCTCAATAACAGTTTAGAGAATTAGAGCTGACATCAGATGTGCAACTCCCTAATCTAGGTGCTGGGGTCAGAGTCCTCAGAGTCTCGGGCCCAAGGTCAAGAACCCGACTGTGGTAAGAGGGAGAGGGTGGGCATGTCTGGAAGCACACATGGGTTAGGAGAATTAGAACTGATGTCAGTTGGTTCAACTCCCTGATTTAGGGGCTTGGATTAGCAAGGAGGAAATCTTCAGGGTTATGGTTCTAAGATTTTCTGTCTGGAGCCTGACTGTGGCGATGCTTTTGTGGGTTTTTTTTGTGTGTGTGTGTGTATTTTTGTTTTCTTTAAATGTGGTTACTTTGTGAATTATTCATTTTAAATGCTGAATTTTGTGATAGATTTTTATCTCAAACGCTGTTAGTAGATACTGTTGAGTATGTTGTATGAGATTGTATCAGTTTACTTCTTTACTTTCTTTGGTTTGGGGGCCATATCCAGAAGTGCCCAGGGTCTGTTCTTGGTGTTGTGTTTGGAGGTCAATTATGGCTGTGCTCTGAGGATCTGACCTGGACTCCATTCCTTTGAGCTATCTCTCTGACCATCTGTTATTATTTTTTCCTTTAATGAAGCCATAGCCTGTTTACATTATTCTAAAATGTGTGAAGCAATCAAGACTAATTTAGCAACACTTAACTTTATAGCTGATGTTAAAGTGCTTTAGTAATGTTCCAATTTTCTGATTTCAGATCCAAGACAATTTTTTTTTTGCTTCTACCACCCTGGGCTGGAGCGATAGCACAGCGGGTAGGGCGTTCGCCTTACAAGTGGCCAACATGGCCGACCCAAGTTCGATTCCTCCGCCCCTCTCGGAGAGCCCGGCAAGCTACCGAGAGTATTCGATATGCCAGACACAGTAACAACAAAGTCTCCAATGGAGACATTACTGGGCCCGCTCGAGCAAATCGACAATCAACGGGAGGGCCCTTACCTTTTTTACCTTTACCTACCACCCTATTTTTTTTATAGTACTATACTAAGGAAAGTACTGCTTTAGAAATCAAAGGAAAGTTTTTAAAGTTTAATATATAATTGGGAATTAAAATTTGGGGAGTCTTTGTCACCATTGGATGATGAAATGTCCTAGGAAAAAAGGACAGCTGTGACTGAGAGACTCTTATGTGCCTGACAGTTGTGCTCATTAAATACTTCCATATGTGCACTTGATTATTCTTACAAGAACCTTCTGAGGTGGGCCTTGCTATTTCAATTCTACAAGTAAGGAAGCCAGGTCATGTCCATTTATATAAAAGCATATAGATTTTGAGTCATGAATTTAGGATTGGAATCTGGATTTCTAAATTCCAAGTCCTGTTCAATCTGAGCTCATTTATGGGGCACCACTGTCCTCTGTTTTCTCATAACTGATTGTAAAAATATTTAAAAATCTAGTACAAAGCACTTTTCTATGTGATAAATTAAACCCTTCGATAAGATCCTCCAGATTGTAATTTTAGATGTTATGTTTTCTATTTTATCTAGGTATAGATAAGAAAAACCAACAATCTTATTTTTTTTCTCTTCTTCACTTGCAGCAATGGCGAACTAGACCCCTGGATGGGAGGTGGAGTAACCAGTGACATTACGGATACCTTGGTTGCAATAATGATACCAGAGGGGGCCCACCATCTAGATCTTCGTGCCAGCAATCATTTTGATCCTGTGTCTGTGTTACTAGCTCGCTCCTTGGAAGTTAAATATATGAAGCAATGGATTCAAGATTTCTATGACAGTCAAAGAAAGAAGTACTAAGCAACTTTTGATTATTTGCAGTTTTTCTTTTTTCATGTTCACTTCGCCCATATTCACTTTGGTTTCTCTTCATAATGAGCCCCACCTTTCCCCCCACGCTGTTTATCATTATATTTAGGGAGGTGAATCTTGAGATAGACGAGAATCATTCCACAGCTCAGGTCCTTGCTGTCTTGGTGCCACCACCTCTGGTAAGAGCTTCTTTGTGACAGCTTTCCTCTACCATGAGGCACCCTCCTAACTGGAATAGAGTTCCTGACTGCCTTTTGCAAGAGAAAGACCTACTTCTTTGTTTCTTTGCAAGCTGAGATTTCTTTCATCTTTTTTGTTTGTTTTTTTGGCCACACCCGACAAAGATCAGGAGTTCCTCCTGGTCTGTCCTCAGGAATTTCTCCTGGTGGGTCTTGGGAGACCATATGGGATGCCAGGGATCGAACCCATGTTAGTCGCATGCAAGACAAGTGCCCTCTCTGGCCTGAGATTTCTTTCAGCTTTGTGATTGAAGTCGAGCTCATTTGTTACTTCTCATCTCTGCCCTACCTAAGTGAAAAGACTAAGATAGATTAAAAAAATAATAATAATGTAATTGCAGGTGGTAGGGAGGATGTTGATGCCAATCCAGGAAAAGGGAACCCTTTCTTTTGTACTTGATTTAATGACTTTGATCTGTTCTGTTAATAAAGAATAAGGCTGGACCTTCTACCTGTGTGTGGCTTTTGAAGCTCACTCTAGCTGATGGGAATGCTGTGTGCACAAGCTAGTTGTTTTGGAAGGACCTTTAATTTTCTCTCGTCTACTTGGCAGCTTTTCTTAGTTCTGGGATACTTGCCACTAGGGTACTGCCAGTAAGAAATCAGGCCCTTTTCTATTCCATTTCTTTGTTTTTAAGGTCAGTTTTGTGATAATTTGGTTAAATTCTGCCAGTTGAGGAAAATGACTCCTTTGCTTTTCATTCTGGATCTGAGCAAGCTTTTATATGCTGTGGTCACCGATGATACTTTAGTAAAAAGCCTTTAAAAACTGATGAATCAGCTATTCAGAAGGTAGAATGTAGTAGAGTATTTTCTTTCTTAAATTATATTTTCTGGTGGTTGCTGCTGCTGTCAATAAAGGCAGGAGGGTCAGCACACTAAGAGGCAGGTGCAGGAGGACTTTTCTGTATGGTGTCCAAAAGACAGGCTAGCTAATTCATGCAGGCAGCATATTTGACATTAATAAATGGCCGCGTCGTTCCTATTTCCATGGGGTTGGCTTCTTTCAAGCCGTTCTTACACTAAGACCTTTCTTCAGAAGAGCTTTTCTAGGATAACAAATAGGGTTGGATCAAAACCTTTCAAGGGACACAGAGAGACTCATAGTTTCTATTCCATTGAAAGAAAGATTTCTTCCCCCTTGTCTCATTCTATTTTCTCACAATAATATTTTTTTTTCCTTCATCCTCCTTGGGAACATTTTCTGCTCTTAAAAACTGTATTTTAGCTCTATAATTTCTAAAGTGCTTACTTTGTTAAAGAGCAGATTTAGATTTTGTCTCGGGTCAGAGACTATTTCCCTTTCCCTGGTATCTGGGAGATACAGAAAAATCTTTGTCTAGTTTTGGAAACCTCCAGTTCTCATTGTAATGAGTTGTCCATCAAAGCACTTGGTTACTGTTTTCATTTCAGCATCAGAGAAAAGTCTGCTAGGGTGAGAATTTAAGGGTCAAAACAATACCAGTATTCCTTCTTTGTCAGCTAAGAAGTTATATAATACTGAGTTAAAGGGCTTAGTAGGCTATATTCCCATTATTTTGGGTTACTATTAATTTGATAATAGTTTGATTGAAAGCACCCTTCTTGTTTAAATATCTTCAAAATACCTGTCATTTCATTTAATAGTGATGATTTGAATGAGTTTTATTTTTATGAAGAAAAAAAATTGTCCACCAAAATGATCATATTTCCATGTAAGTATACCTTGGTCCCATTACATATTTTTCTATGTACATTTCATGATAGAAACTTGTCCCAACTATATAATATGCAGAATTTCAATTTTAAAATTGGTAAGAAATTAGAACACTAAATAAGCCTTATTATTGAAAGCATACCTCTAATAAATAGACAGTGTTTTTGAAAGATAGGAAAAGGACGTAGAGTTTGAGATTTCTTATTTTTGTTTTATATTAGCTTGATTTACCTGGAATCAGTGAGTAGAACAAAAGAAATATAGGGATCTATCTTAAAGGATCTACAGAGCCAAGGTAATCCAGAGGAGCCAATATCTAGAATATTAGAAAGTAAAGGCACCTCATGTATTGTACAACCCAACTTCATGGCCTGTAGGTGAATGATGGCATTGTTACCATGGAACGAGGACTTCTCTAAGACCTCATAGCTTTACTTTTGGCAACATGAGGCCTTGGTTTTAGCTTTACTGGTGGTGTTTTTCTTTCTTTCATTTAGATTACTTTAGTCTCTGGGTTCAAACAATAAAACTTTAACAAACCAGCTTAAGCAAATGAGGAAATTTTTTGAGACATTTCCAAGACTTGGAGCTAAGAATTCTGTCACTGTCCTGTCACTGTCCTCCCGTTGTTCATCGATTTGCTCAAGCGGACCCAGTAACGTTTCCATTATGACAATTGTTACTGTGTTTTGGCATATCGAATACGTCACGGGTAGCTTGCCAGGCTTTGCCGTGTGGGCGAGATACTCTCGGTAGCTTGCCGGATTGTCCTAGAGGGGCGGAGGAATCGAACTTGGGTTGGTCATATTGGACGCTTGCAAGGCAAACGCTCTACCTGCTGTGCTATCGCTCCAGCCCGAGAATTCTATAGAAATGAAATTGAAGTCTGGAAAGTCATGAGAATCCTAAACTGCTGCCATTTTCCCCCTTTCAGTAGAGGTCACCAGTTATCAGCTTGAAGGAGGGATTTACTTCTTTGAGATTTATGGTTTATCTCAAAGTGAGATTTACAGTTTAACTCAAACTGGTGTTTGCAGTTTAAAGTGTCTGCAGACACCAGAATTACTCAAAGCACCTGTGTATTGATTGCTGTGCCCCTCCTGGCGCTTGTGATGTGTCTTAGGGCTAGATCTTGGGAAATTATATTTGTCACCAGTTCCTTGTTGATGCTTGATGATCATATTTTGAGAACCACTAATTGGAAAAATTATCAATTTGAATTATAATTTGATGTTTTTTAGGAAATATATACATCTTCATTTTATCTCTCCTGTTATCCTGTCCAATCCCTTCTAAGTAGAAACCTGCCAAATCTGCTCTTTCTGTAGCCACAAAAGGCCCAATCCCACTGCCGCTGGAGTGCTAGTCAGTTGAGAGATCCAAGTGATGGTTCTAGAAAAAGATTTATTGGGAACAGACCCACAGGTTGCAAGATGGTAGACTTAGATCCTCAAAGCAGTTATTCTAGTGAGATGTAATCTAACAGGTAACTGAATCACAGGTCAATCAGAGACATTACTGGGCCCGCTCAAGAAAAGTACTTAAATCTGAAAGAGTGAGACAATCTTAAAAATTATATTCATCAACTGGAGAGATTGTGCAGCAGGTAGGGTGCATGCCTTATTCCAGTTTTGATCCCTGGCACCATATATGGTCCTACAAGTACTGCCAGGAATGATCCTTGAGCATTGCTGGGTGTGGCCCTCAAACAAAAACAAATTATATTCATCCTCAATCCATTCAGTCCTATAGAAAAATTTTGATTTCCTGTGTTTTTGAAGGTTTTTTCTTTTTCATAAGCTCTGCAATTTTTTTCTTCATTTCCATGACAGTTTTGTTTTCTGGAGAATTTTCTAGTCTTTTCTTATGAACATCATGACATAAAGCATTAAAACAATTTTATAAGTGGTAAATGTCTTTCAAATTCTCACAATTTAAGAACTTGCTGTAACATGACTGGCAAGAAAGTTTGCTTAAATTTGTGACATACAATTTCCAAAGTGTAGGAAATCAAGATTTTTCTACAGAGGACTGAATGGATTGAGGAGGAATACAATTTGTTTTTGTTTGGGGGCTACATCCTGACCTTGTCAGGTCTTCAGGAATTGAGCAGTAGCACAGCAGGTGTTTACCTTGTACGTGGCTGACCCAGGTTCGATTCCTCCGTCTCTCTCAGAGAACCCAGCAAGCTACTGAGAGTATCCCGCCCGCACTGCCCAGCTTGGCAAGCTCCCCTGTGGCGTTTTCGATATGCCAAACACAGTAACAAGTCTCACCATGGAGACGTTACTGGTGCCTGCTCGAGCAAATAGATGAACAATGGGAGGACAGTGCTACAGTGCTACAGTGCTAATAATATATTATTCTACAAATATTGTTAGAAGGGCTGGAGTGATAGCACAGCGGGTAGGGCGTTTGCCTTGCAAGCAGCCAACATGGCTGACCCGAGTTCGATTCCTCCGCCCCTCTTGGAGAGCCTGGCAAGCTACGGAGAGTATTTTACCCGCATGGCAGAGCCTGGCAAGCTACCCGTGATGTATTCGATATGCCAAACACAGTAACAGTTGTCACAATGGAGACATTACTGGGCCCGCTCAAGCAAATTGATGAACAATGGGAGGACAGTGACAGTGACAGTGATATGTTAGAAAGGTTAAACATTTCCCCTTTGTGACAAATGCTTCTCTTGAAACTTCAAGATACCAAACAGACCTAAACTATATATACATTTCTCTTTCCACAAGGGGAGAGAACAACTTTTGGGTGATATTTTAGGAATTCTAGGACTTTTCATATTTGTTTTCCTTTTAATCCTTCATTCAATCCTTCAATCAGATCTTTTAGAAAGAAAAGTCATAACACCAAGGTATAAGATAATGGGTGTACATTTCAGATATACATTTGTTGGACCTGGATTAATTGGAAATAAATTTTTCAGCATCTGAAAGAACTCATCCCAAAGTATGCCAAATTAAGTACCTTAGTAGGTATTGGTAGGGGGATCTGGTAGCACAGCGGTAGGGCGTTTGCCTTGCACGCAGCCAACATGGCCGAGCCGAGTTCGATTCCTCCGCCCCTCTCGGAGAGCCCGGCAAGCTACCGAGAGTATTCGATATGCCAGACACAGGAACAACAAAGTCTCCAATGGAGACGTTACTGGGCCCACTCGAGCAAATTGATGATCAACGGGAGGGCCTTTACTTACTTACTTACTAGGTATTGGAACATGAGGATGGAGATGTTTTATAAAGTAGAGGATGTGACTAGAACAAGCTCATTATGGTTACTTTGACTTCCGAGTGAATGGCGGAATCAGTGTTGATCACTTGGATCCTCAAAGCAGTTATTCTAGTGAGATGTAATCTAATAGGTCGCTGAATCACAGGTCAATCAGGAAAAGTACTTAAATCTGAAAGAGTGAGTCTTAAAAATTATATTCATCATCGAACTAGAGATAGTGCAGCAGGTAGGGGGCATGCCTTCTTCCAGTTTTGATCCCTGGCACGCCATGAGGCACAGTCAGGAAATCAAACACAGGAGCTGGAGAGTACAATGGGACTCCGTTGCCTCACATGCAGCCGACTTGGGTTCTAATTCCGGCACAGCATAGGTTTCCAAACACTGGCAGAAGTGATCCCTGAAGCACTGCTCTGTGTGGCCCAAAACAAAAAGAGCAAAACGACATAAGAATCAAGTGTTGCTTACACTGTGGAGATATTTCATTTACTACCAGACATCTATGTTTTTGTGGGG